CGGACACCACCAGTGACAGACCTGGGAGACAAATGAATAGAAATGCTGCATCGCCAGCGGAAAAGGGCGGACACCAGCAGTGACACAAAGGGCGGACACATCTTAAGAAAGAATTGAGAACCCCAACAGTAAACTGTTTCGGGAAAAATGAACAAATTCCTGAGAGCGGATGATTGCTCGGACTATGGTCTCGCTGTCCATGCCTCCCGACTCTAAGGAAGTGCAGCACTGCGACTGTGCTGTCCTCGAACTTGAATAGCACTAAAGGCACAGCGAACGCCTGAGACCACCAGAGTGGAGAAGAAAAGCTTTACGGACTCTGCAACCAAATCACCTTGAATGCAATTTGACAAGTGCTTGCTTTGGAAGATTCCAACACTCCAAAACAACCTTTTCTTCAAGAAAGCACATCGTGGGTGCCTCGAGGAAGGCAAATGTCGTCTGCTTCCAAGACATCGATGTCTGCACGTAAGAATGTGGAGAGGCCTCCACGCGCCTGCAACACGGAGGTCCGGCTGCTATCAATGCACTAGTCACTACTTCAACCCTCATCTCCAACTCTGCAAGCTGTGGTATGTGGAACAAGCAGCTAAATGCGTGAACAAACACCACGAAGTGGCAGGTTAGAGCTCCTGTGAGAGGATTGAGAAGAGGGAGGCCACCAGTAAGCAACCTGCCCAGAAAAAACAGGAGAACTGCTTTCTGAGGCCTGTGTCACCATATCGAAATAATGAAAGTCAGCCAGAATGGTACAGTTTGTGGTGGCCTCCTAGAATCATTGCACCAAACACTGTCAAAAAAGAAAAGAAAATTTAGACAGCATGTTGCTTTGATTTTGAGAAAAGCTTCTGACTGACTCTCTTGGTCTTGAGAATCTCTTCAATTAAGAATCTCTCCAGCTGCTCCAGCCTCGCAACATGTGTATGGTAACGATAAGCGGAAGGGTCTACCCGGCTACTCTGTTCAGTCTCATGATGACTTGAGAGGAACAAGATCAAGCAGCTCAAGCAGCTCAAGCTGATATTGTTCATAGGTCACTCAAAAGGTAAGGTGACCTGCTTGAGTTGAAGCTCGTCTGCACTTGTTTGATACGTCAAACATCGTCAAACTCTGTCGCTGGCACTATTTTCTTCCCACATGATTCATGATGCCCATCCCCCATTGCCATTCCTCTCATAGAATGGTCCCCAGAAATTCATTTCGGCCACGCGTACCTCTCGTGGTGTCACCAGGATTAGGATGTGAAAACAACGAAAGGCTACAAAGTGGCCTGGCCTTTTGGCACGAAGGCCATGCAATGTATCTTCCATATCCCGAGCAACCTGAGGAACGCCAAAACCCTCCCACAGCCTTCCTGAGTTGAGACTTAGGCAACCACAGCTCCCAAGATCTTCCGGAGTTCCTCTGGGACGAACATGGTTGGCAAGTCGTGACAAACTCACTTCTCACCTGGATTGAGAATAATTGCTTATATAATCCAACCAAATTGAAAGTGTTGTTTCACACCTGTCCTCAGGATCTCTACATCGCAAATCCCTTGGCCCGGGTGAGGTCCTCAATCAGCCAGACTGGTTTATCCGGCCTTTAGTTCTCGAATCTTGGCCGCGGAGCACCTCGTGCGACACCCGGTCACCGCCACGTGCGAAGCGCTCTCGTTGGTCACGGAGCTCTCCAGCAGCTCGAGGCCCAAGACCTCACATGAACAGCCGCGAGAGACCCTCGAGCTGAGCCGAACAGCGTGGCGCCGGTCGGTGCCGCCGATCGCACCGGCGCTGGGACCCCAGTGGAGACCTGTAGACAGGACCCAGTTCAGCCCACCATGTAACTAGGGTCCGTACTGCATCGGATTTCACCTCGCGGGAGCGATCAACCCCAAAAAAGAACCAAGACGGTCCAACGAAACGGTATAGCTTACAAGAGCGTCGCGGATGCAGCGGCTCAAGTGGTTTAGTTAAAAATAGATAAGCGAAACATCTCTTGGAACGAGCATGCAGCGGCTCTGATATATAGTATAACTCGGCGCTTCCGGCCTGCGCGAGGACTTTGGAGCATAGGCTTCCATCCTTCAGGACGGGCAGAAAATGAGAAAATGAGATCTCGAAAGGGTGTGTAGCTGCGACCCCAAGGAAGTCCTCCCAGGCGTGGCAACGACCCCAAGGGTTCAGTTCGGAAAAATCAACCAGTCTACCGAACCAGGGCCAGGGGATCTCCTCGCCTCGTTTCGTTGGCGCCTCAGTGCCCAGAATGGGATGGGAGACCATCAGCTCACTCACTCACTCGCTCACTCACTCACTCACTCACTCTCTCTCTCTCTCTCTCTCAAACTCTCTCAAACTCTCTTTCTCTCTCTCTCTCTCTCTCTCGTGTACGTGCTGGCAAGCTTCCAAAGGTGGCCTGATGGGGGGTGTTCTTTGGGATTGGTTTGAACGCTTATTTTGCTGCATTTTGTGTGTTCAGCTCGTTCGGAGGTGTTCAGTTTGAGGCAGCGTGCCTTAAGCCAGAACACGGAAAGGTGCTTTGAGTTTGCGCTTAAAATTGGTGACACTGCCGACACGACCTGACATGCGTCATACGGTCATGCGTGCCGTAATTTCATGTCTCACGTGAGTTTTCTGAGTCGCATGTCTTCGAAGGGAAGGTGAATAACTGCCTTCTTTTGTCCTGGGTGATCTGTTGAAACTTGGAACCGAATGATGGAAGCCCATACGGCAGCTTGCAGCTTGGCACCGCATCGGTTGAGCCATTGGAAGCCCGGCGCTGGCGCTTGGGGTGGCGCTTGGCCCGCACATCGACCTAGGGAGTTGCCGTGGTCATCCGTGCCTGGCCGCTTCTGTCTTTGTCTGAGACTGCCCTTAAGATCTGTTCCTTCCTCCTGCTTGACCGTCAGTCCCTTCTTTTGTGGGTTTCTTGGAATTAGTCAATTCATTGAGGCTTTGCTCTACCCGGCTCTGCCCCCATTCTGATAGCCAAAGCCTCCATCTTTTTGCCCTCTTCCATGATTTGCTCGACTTCTTTCAAAGTGTTCCCTATCTCTGTCTCTTGACATAGCTCTATTCCCTTTTCCAGCTGGCGAGGTCAGCCGGGTGCTCAGTATTTTTGCTCTTAGGCTCTAAGGTGCTCCATGCATGGGCTCTCGGATTCCTGATTGAAACTTGCACACTGTCTGGGTACAGCAAGGTTTAGGCTGTTTGCCTCTCAATGTTTGCCTAGAGCATCTAGGTCTAGGTGTCTCATAGGGATCATAGGAATCACGTCCCCCGCTTTCAGAACTCATTGAAAAACCAACCTGGCCGGCTACAATAATGGACCAGAAAGACAACCATGCCTGGGAAAATACAAACTTCAATGATACTAGGCATTCGATGATACGAGGAGTTCTCGCTATGCACACAGAACCTACGGAATCTAGGTCAAAAGGACTTCTACAAAACTCACGAGACGCAGATATCATTTGACCTGCATGTTGCCCAGGGAAGCCTTCATCATAAGAGCTTACAGTGCATTGAGCTTCCAACAGCTCAGCCAGCTTGCTCACCGCGCTGTGGCGTAGCCTGCGGCAGAGATCCCAGCAGACCTGGCTTCTCCCGCCGTTTTTCGTGACATTTCCGAGGCATGGTAGGGCGGCTGTGGCAATCCTAGCAAGAGCTATTGATGCTCTGCTGCACTCTTCAATTCACATAATGAACCCATCAAGCTAGCCAGTCATTCACCTACTTCGCAATCAGCTCTGTAGCTGCTACACTGAGATTCCCACAGGCCATGTTTCCGCAGCCGCATCTGCAGCAGAGGCCAAGTCTTCTAAAACTCTCAGTGTGGCAGCCAGGTCCTGCCAGCTCAACGTGTGGCAAGACCACCTCTTTCTTGCCTTCCTTAAGTCCATAGCCAGAAATTGTGAGATTCATTGAGATTGAGATTCATTCAGCTTTCTAAGAAGCAATGGAAGCAGTGCATCTCCGGTGTCCTGGCATTGCGGCCGCAGCATTTTCACAGGTGTGGTGTCCGCCCCAAGCCTCTCGCCTCTGCTCAAAGACATTGGTGTGAGCGGCCTGAGCAAGCTCAACAAGACGGGAGTCAACATCCAATGAAACCTGCTTGAAAAGGCTTGATCACTCACCTGGGATGCCCTACCCAGGAGATGTTTCCGACACTAGTCGGACCTTTCTTCGGCGCTCCCACCTGCGTCTAGGTGCCCTTCATGTCACATTTGCTCAGCTGACCTGAACCCACCCCACGCCTTCTGACTGGTGTCTCAGGCTGGCTCTCCGACTGGGCAGCAATGGCTTGGCAAAAGCTGAAGCTCTTCATGGTTCAATTCCCAGTGGAGCGCCTTTGGAGCCCTTGGACTGCTCGATCCCTAGCAGTCCCCGATCCCACGCGTCCCGAACTTGGGCGACATTTCGAGTCTGAGAGAGGTGGTGATGACCCAACCACTTCAAGTGCCTGAAGTCCACATTCTCCATTTGGTCAACGCATCCCGCCTTCAGGGTGGCCAATGCCTCCAAGGCGCCTGCAAAACAAAGAGGGCGAATGGAGCCGCACGTCCATTTCCTCGTTTTTGCAGCCTCACCTCTGAGACGTTCCTCTGCTTCAGACAACGCCCTGCGAATGCATCGGATTTTTTTAACCCTGACTGTGTCCAAGCGTAAGACGTAGGAGGTAGAAGTGCAAGCTGGAGATGTTGGCATTGGCTATGAAACGCGATCAATGTAGATTATGACCCCAAAACAGATAGTTTGTCCTATATATATATATACCCTTCATATTGAACCGGAAATTGTTCATACCTACTTGGGAACTGTTGTAGATAAGTCCACTATAAGTGTCTTGCTGCCCAGCAACGGTGCCGGCTCCTGAGCATGAATAATCTGGTGCTAGACTGAGGAAGCCGTGTCTTTTCGTCTCACACTGGGTTTCATGCTTCTCGCGTGCACCTCAGCAATTTGCTGGTTGAGGAATCTGTGCATGTTATGTTCCATTGTCAAGACAAACAAACCAAGCATGATTCTTCATGTTGTCTAAAACGACCTTGGCACCAAACCACAAAGGCACAGTTTCTTGCAAGTTCCGGATGTCTGGACTTTGCGAGACCTGGCCCGGGCAAATTGCAAATTGACAACACCTTTCTTCACAGGATCCAAGCAAATATTCAAGCAAATAAATTCAACAAGCATTGAGCAAAACAAACAAGAGGAACGGCACTTCATTTTGTTCGATATATCCTGTCTGAATCACTGAAATGGTGGCAAACAAAAGTGCCTTTTCACTGGGTTGGTTCCTCCTGTGCATCAAACCTTAGACAGGAGGAATGAACACATCCGACTGAACACAAAACCGCCCGTTAGGAAAAAATAAGAATGAACATGTATTCAACTGGTGGACATTTCATTTTGCCAATGACGAAGGATTCTTGCGATGTTTCTCTTTAATCAACCAACTATGTTTGCTGTGAATCTCTAAACAATTTGGATGTCTGATGGTACACCGGACTAGCCACTGCAAGCTTTCAGCACCAATGGACGTTTGAGCTGCTCATTCGGGGATCTGCACAACTGAGTTGAAACCATCCACCTGCCACTGGCAACAAAGGACACCTGCTCAAAAAGATCTCACAAATGTCCAAGTACTGAGGCGCAATGTTGCATCACGACCATGTGGGTGTCATGCATGACAAGATATCGATTTTGCAGCCATGTCACACGTACCGACAGCCGCCGGAGCCACAGCATGTGTTGACAGGAAACAAACCCCACACAGTATGTTGCAATTTGACTGTGGAAAAATCATTCTCTGCGTCTAAGGATCGCTCCATTTATTACCAATGAAAAAGGAATGTTCGAATCTAATTAGTTTGGATTGCTTTGTGTCACCTTACTTGCCGGGGCACACAAACCCAGCCTTTCAAAGCGCCTTGGAACCAAAAGCAAACAATCAAACAAGGTAAAGTTGCAGATTGAAATCGAAGTGCGACAAAACATTCAGCATGCCATTTTGCCAGCGCAACACATTCCAAAAAATAGTTGGTGGCTTGAATTTCATCCAAGCTGGCCTGAAATATGCCAAAAGAAACGCCCACCGTGGGTGGTGAAATCTGTCAATATATGTTTTGTCGGCTTCCGTTGCAAGTATTGTGCATCCCGGAACACACATAACTTGGCAAAGAAAACACATTGAAAACCAAAGGCCAAAAAGCTTTAAAATGCGAGTGGAACTACGCAAATTACTTTTCCCAACTTGAGAGAACAATTTAGAAGAGTGGAGGAAAACATTTCTTTATTTCACCCAAGTTGCTGCGCCTGTTCCAGTCCGAGAAGCGTGTCTAGCACCTCCCTTAGCACACGTCATTCTACTTTTTAAGGCCTTTGCAGTGCAAAGACACGTTGCGTGAGTGCCTGCAAACGCTCTTTTACAACTGGGGTGCTCGAGTGCCTGAGTATCCTTCACGCTCAGGGGTTGGCCCGGGCGCTTTGGAGCATCAGCGCAAGTCGAAGCTGATTCAACAGGGACGAGAGGCATATGTAAGGGAACCGCATCCACGAGAGCCACAACTCGCTCTTTTGCAAAAAGGCACCTTTAGCGACATTGGAAATGTTTGCGCACACTGGAGTGAGGTCAACATTGACGACAACAGGATGCGAAGCTTCTGCATTCGGCTAGCCACAAGACGCAAAACACACATATAGATGCACTGAGTGCAAGCCAGGTGAAAAACATGATCTCATCAGTGCGTGGATTGAAAACAAAACATGAACGAATGTCCCATGAAGTTGGAACCGATATCAAAGCTTTGTTGGGGTAATTCGCGTCCTTCACACAACTCCCCATGCCCCAAAGCGGCGTGAGAGGCTTAGGATTGCAAATGATTTTGCGCCTTTTCACCCTGTTGGATCTTCCATACTTTGTTGCGGATAGTTTCTTCTGCAACAGCCCTCTTGGGACGTAAACCCGACTTGGCTTCCTTGGCCTTTGCCTTTTTCTTTTCCGGCGCTTTGGCCTTTGATCCGGCTTTCTCCGATGCCTTGGCCTTTGATTCGAAGCCTGGTGGCGGATAAGCTGGTTTCTTTGGGGCTGACCGCTTTGGCGGTGGTCCTTGGGTCTGTTGGCCTTCTCGTGCTGGAACCGGCGGTGGCTGGAGGATCAAGGTGGTTCTCCGGCTGGACATTTATCAGATGTGTGTTGGCTCCTTTGTCTTGAGTTGCAAGTTCGTTGTGGGTTCCGTCCGGCCTCGCTCAGAGGCAGAGAGATTCGAGTGGAGTTGAGCCTGAGGAAGAATGAAGACTCTGTAATGGTGATTGAACAGCAGCAGCCTCCTACCTGCCAGGAAGCTTTGTGCATTGGAATTGAGAATGACGTCCTGCACTGGCAGTCCGCAACATTGTCGTGCAAGTCTGCCTTCTTCGGACTCCACGCTATGAGAGGAGCTCAAGGCTTTTGGAGTGTTGAAGACATGATGAAGTCGGTGACAAGCAGAACAGCAACACAGACAACATGAGATTGGCCCCCATGGAGGTGGATGCCGTCATCTACAAAGGCAAAGGTGGCAAAGACAAGGAAAAAGGAAAGAACAAAGGAAAAGGAAGCTGGTCTGACGCATGGAGTTGGACTTCGTGGTTCAAAGGAGGTGGCAAGAAGGAAAGCAAAGGAAGAGGGGAAAGATGAATCCGGACAGGTGCCCGACTTGCAATGGTTTTGGACACTGGCGAAACGAGTTCCGAACAAGGACGGTTCGGGAAGTTCGTACAGATCCTGGACAAAGCAATTGCCCAATTCGCAGCCCCATGTCTCACCCTTCCCACTCTTTTCTGGTCTACAGGACCTTCACGAGCGACATGCGGCCAGGTTGCTTCGTGGTCTGGTTGTGTTTTTGGTTGTGCTGTGTTTGGTTCGTGTTTTTCGTTTCTTGTTCTCGCATCCTGCCCGGTAGCTCACTCTTAGCACAAGATGACCTGTACAATCTCTGCACACATGGCGTCTCCACCCGTGCAAAAAAATACTGTTCCTCACATGCATGGTCTCTTCCGTTTCTTTCTTACTCTCACAATGCAAAAGCTCTGATTCGTGCACCTGTCCAAACCACCTGTGGAACGGGTCGTCTTCAAGCAGCTCAAACTCACAAGAAACATTTTCTGCGTCAAAAATGTTGCAATGCACACAAGGAAAAGGTTTTTGCACATCTGCTGAAACAACTCTCACATGTCCAGTCAGTGTCACCCAATCTGCCTCTGAACCTGAATCCACCTCAGACAAAGTGAACTGTTCTGGTCTTTGATGAGGTGGTGTCCCAACATGATACATATGAACACGTCGAACTGATCTTTGTGATGTTGAAGCAGCTGCACTTCCGACTGAACTGTGGGCAGTGGCTGAGGTTGAAGGGATCCGAGTTTCTGTGCTGACGTGTCTCTTCTCCTTTCAAGTGTTGCTGGCTTTGACATCCTTTCACCGAACCTTCAACTCGAAGATGCTCAGGGCTCTCTTGGATTGGGGGTTGAAGCAAGCGCAAGTGGAGATTGAACATTGTTCAGATGGCAAGAGTGGATGTTTTTTTTGCACGAGTACGGACGCCATGTGGGCGGTGTGCCCAGGTCATCATGGGAAGGATGGAAACTCTGCATATTGGAGCAAACCGAAAACACAAGACCAACACAAAAACAACCCCCAAACACCCCAACCCCAAAGCAAAAACCAGCACCAGAGGACCCCAACAACCAATGTGGGCAGAGTTTCGCACTGTACTAAGGTGAGACATGTGAAACGTGAAAGATCGTTGAACTAACTAGTCGGGCCTGAATTCACGAAGTATGCCACTCAATGTCCCGGGACTTCGCAGACAAGGGGCAGGGTCGCCCTTGCCAGGTTAGGTTGCAGGCACTTCAGCCATATCCGAATGTTCGACAGATCAGCTGGTGCGAACTACTTGCAGCACTTCAGATCAGTAATGATCGTCATCGGTCATCAAGAGTTGCAATGCAATACAGGCCTTGGAAAACAGCCATCCTACGGCACAGCTATTACACACGGCTGCACAAGCAAAGGCGACTGTGGCCGGTCATGGGCACGGAGGTGGTGTAGCTGCAGGCAACCTACAGACCTCCCGCAAGCAGGGGCAGGCAGCGGCAGGAGCTTGGGGGGCGTGCAAATGTGCAAATCGGGATGGATAGAGCGGTCATCAACGGTCACTACCCAGACATGCATGGCCCTGGTGAAACAGGTGAAACCGAAATATTTCCTAGCATGGTACTTTGTGCCATCTTTGTACAAGATTGGCTGAGTGCAGACTCTTTTGCCTTCTGATGCAATGGCACACAATTGCCACAGACCCCCTGCATACACCGAGGGGGGGTGGTACTCCAGTAGACCCTGATCTTGAGCCCTTTGAACCCCCACAGGAAACGAATGAAGAACTTTTGGTTCGACAGCTCTTGCAGGCAGCCACAGACCAGCACTCCCAAGAGTGTGGGTCACAGGCAGCAGGTCGCTACCATCTCTCACTGCCGGATCCGCAAAAGTGCGTGCCATACCTGTTTGTACCATGGAATACCGTTGCCAAGCAAGTCGGAATCCCAGAAGTGCAAGCAGCACCGCTACCTAATCTGCGCGATGGGGTCTTGCACGCAGTTGGCCTCCTTCCAGAACCCAGGCAAGAAGAGTTCCATGCCGCCTTCAGAGAGGCAATTGAGTCCATTCCGACCCTGCCGGAACCTGTTGAGACCTTAGCATCCCTGATCCTAAACGTCCAGGTAAAAAGTATGGAAAAGACCCGCCTTTGGGCATCAGTTGTCAGGCACATGGCTGAACATCAAGGGTTCTGGCTCACAACCACGATTGCCCTGCCTCCGGACTGTGTGCAGATCCAGTGCGGAGGCCTTGGAGGAGGCACCCTGGGCGGACCGGACGTCCCCACCTTCCATTGTACAAACCCGAGAGTGCACGGCACCTGCGTTTATGGCCCCTCGCTGGCGCCCGTAGACAGGCCGGGGGAGAAAATCACAGGAGTCGCAGCAGGTGCCACTACCTGCCTCCATGAACTCGCTATGCTCATGTCGCTCACTATACAACCATGTGTGCGATGGCAAGAGATTGGTTTCGGCCGGGCATCACTACTCTATAGGAGAACACAAATCATGCTAGAAGCGGCGCGGCTCTTGCCGGCGCACAGGAGACTGCCGCATGTGACATTTCTTAATGGACTCTGGTGGAAACTCCTAGCGTTGCAGCCGGAAAGAATACTAGCGTGTCTCCCGCTTTTGCAAAAAAAGCAGCCGCAGCACTAGTGCAGCTGGGCTATACTGCCCCGCAGAATTTAGCTTGGAAGGTTTTAGCACAGGTAGCTATACGGGTGCAGTCATCTTCCTGGCCCTTCGCAGGCTTTTCCCAGCATGTCGACTTTCCGCCAAGCTTGGAGCAGTGGCGATGCCAAAGGGGGGGTTTGCTCTTCTGCAAACAGCGGCCACCCCTGGCCGATGCCGGGTCCATCTCATCCATGCGGAAGAGGACATGTTATGTGACTGGCAGCACAATCAAGTTGAGCGTCATGTAGTCTCACACAGGCTAGACTACACGGTAGTAGGCGAGTCCGATAAATGGATGGGTACCTCCAAACACCAATACCTCCACTGGTTACGGTGCCAGCTCCCAAAAGGGCGGCACAACCTAACTGACCTCAAGTTGAGTCACCCTGACGTCATACCAGTCCGAGATAGGATGGCCGCACCGCTGCGGCTCGCCTCCTGGGTCCGCTTCGAAACCGTCATGGACCG